GCAGAGAGAAGCCTGAGAGCGGCCATGCCATTGTAGTTTCTTACGACGGTTTCAGCCGCTAGTTTTAGCCGTATTTCCACAAAAGTGGAACTCAAAGGCCGTTCTCCATTAAACTCAAGTAGCAGGTCTTGTGGAACTGATCAATCACGTTGGTCGATTGGCTGATTTGACTCTGCAATTGGTCAATTCCACGAGATCTACGACTTGCGTTTAATGTAGAAACGGCCTTTGAGTTCCACTTTTGTGGAAATACGGCTAAAACAGCGGCTAAAACCGTCGTAAGAAACTACAATGGCATGGCCGCTCTCAGGCTTCTCTCTGTCATAAGTTTTCCCTTGAGTGCGTGTCCCTACCACCTTGGTATTTTTGGTGCTAGCCGGCCAGAGTTTGCAAATCTGATTTCGAGGTTAGCAGAAGATGCGCATCTATGTTCAATCGAAGGATACAAGAAATTCTTACATGATGTTTGTCAAGAAAAATATTGTCCTTGTATAGAAGATGAAACTGAGATTCATGATTGAGTATCTATACAGCACAGAAAAATTGTAAAAAGATTGCAAACATATCTTATTGCAATATTGTAATATTGCACAGTAATTGCGCAATGTAGATGCAATATGGATGCAATGTCAAAGCAACATAAAACACTGTCCGTGTTTAGCAAAATTGCACTGCAATATTATAGTCATATTGTAGCGCAATATACTTGCAACAATAAATAAAAATATTTCTCTTATTATTATCAAATATAATTTACAGTATAGTTTGTGATTAATAAACACAAAATTGCAATCAATATATATTTTATTATATTAATTATATTTTTTACATATACATATATTAGAAATACATATATTATACATAGCATACATATATTCAATTTCTATTTATCTTTTTGAAAGTTTCTAATACACTACAAACAAGCAGTCTATTATAAGGCAGTCTGTAAAAAGAAACAAATTAAAATTAAAATTGAGAAGTCGCTCGTGAAATTGATGAGGAAAGTTGAAAAGGACCAATACAAGACTGTGTACACTGGATGTCGGTGTGTTAAAATGTTTATGTTTATTCAAAGGAGTCAAATGTTTCGATTTCTGTATAGAATCTCCCTCAGTGACAATTAATGATTTATATATTTAAATAAATCCACACAATACTTTCAATAATAGGCTTGTTGAGTTTATTTAACAGTAACATCGTATTTGTACAAAGAAGTAAAATTATAAGTAAAATTAACATAGAGAATTTAAATGAGAGAGAGAGAGAGAAAAAAAAGAGAGAGAGAAAGAAAGATTTAAATAATAAAACACAAGAAACACAAAATATGAAATTAATTTTTTAGTATTACGTTAATTGGATTTCTTTGTAGTTTAATATGAAGCATCTCTGATATTAGTCTTTTGGAAACAAATTTCTCTAAGTCTAAGATTTTTATGTTACTCTAATTAAAATCATGTCTTGTTTGAAGTCTGTGTTCCGTTACGACAGAAATTTAGTTATTGTTATGATTAATTTGATTTCTATGCTCAAAAAAATCCAATTAACGTCATTGTCTGATATTAAAAAATTAAAACCATATTTCGCGTTCTTGAATTATTTAAATCTACAGCGTTATAATTACATCATTACATTTTAACTGTTTTTCCTGTTTTTCTTCATCGCTAGTAGGGAAAAACATATTCATCTGTTCACTTGTGAAGATTGTACATCAGAACGTCGGCACATTTCAAACAGTTTGTTGTAACGTCTTAGTTATTCTTTACTCATCATTTCTGACAAGTAATTTCTTTATCTTTTCTTTTTTTATAAAAAATATTAAATTCAATTTTACATATATTTAAGTGCAGTTTCATCTTTTCAGTCATCAAAAATGATTTTTTTCACATTGCGTGTTTTGAACTACTGATGTGTATCCTATATTTGTGTGTTTCAAACTACTGATGTGCATTTCTTGGTGAGTTGTTTAAAAAAACTTTTTATTGCTATTGTCAATTGCTTTTTGGCAAACCAACTCTCTATTTACTTTACGTTTAGATATACAATTGTCACTGAGAAAGATTCTATGCAAGAAGCAAAACGTTTGACTTCTTCGAATAAATATAAACATTTTAACACACCGACATCTAATGTACACAGTCTTGTATTGGCCCTTTTCAAGTTCCTTCAAAATTAAAATACAAGTGTCAATAATATACAAAACTATTTTCCAATGTAAAATTAGTTCATAGACTTACCAAATGATACACAACAAATAAATAGTGTTGTATAGTGTTATATAAAGCAATTTGTAAAAAGCTGTTGTAAGCAAGGCAGTCTGCAACAAAAAATAAACTGGAAAATTAAAATACAAGACTCAAAAAATACAATATAATCTCAAAGTAGTTAAACTACAATAATTGAAGAATAATTTTACTTAGTTATTTTATCTTTGTTCTTTTTCTTCTAATTATGCCTTGCCTTATTGTAATGTCTACACTTGCCTTATATAAATGTCTATACAATATATCTTAACGTAACCAACAAAAAATAAACTAAAGACAGAACCCAGTAAAAATAACTCAGCACACTCAGTACAGTGAACGTATTCAGGCTAGATCCTTTTCCGTGTACATGCGACAGTGACGGCGAATGTATAATGCATTCAATGCGAACATTGCTATACCAAAATTACTAAAATAAATATAAGAGTTATGTGTAATGTATATTTCTATATATATCTGATAAATAAATTCATTTCCCAAAAGGTAATGACCATTACGTCCTGTGAACACAACTATAAGTTATGTGCAGTTTTTTGCAATGTTTCTACAAGATTTTTACAATCTTGCTATTATCTTACACCGAAATATGTATTATACGTTACAATACCTAATACCTATAATGTCACAGAAATACCGTGCAATCTGCAATATTGCAATATTCCTGCAATGTAACTGCAAGTTTCTGTAAGAGTAAACACCGATATTATTATAGCTACTTAATCATGAATATCAGTTACATTTTCTATACAAGATGGTATTCTTCTTGACAAACATCATGTAAAAAGTTTCTGTTTGTCCTTCGACTGAATACAGATGCATCTTTTGCTAACCTTAAAATATTCTGCCACTGAGAAAGACCTGATATAAGATTGAAATGTATGGCTATAATAAAATAAAAGGTTTGTTAATGTACACGATTAACCAGTATACTACTTGTATCGTCCCTTCTCTATATCATTGAAATTTCACAAGATCAAAATTTTCAGTTTAAGTAATTTAAAAACTTATGCTTACCATACTTGTTTATATCATTGTAAATGAAGATTTGAGAGTTCACTGACTAGGTCCCTTTTACATATCAAGTTAATCAAGCAAAAAATAAGAGACATTCGCGAATCATGATGCGTGCAGAAAGTCTAGCAGTCGGACTGCTTGTGTACAGCCTTTACTTACTTAAATATATCAAGGACTCATCTAACTATAAATTAAATATACAGGATGTCTCAAATAAAGTGTTACAAGCTGTTTTCTCAGAATTTAATAAAGATATCAATAACAACTTTTTTTTAGATTCAATGGTTCAGTGAGACTAATCTTCTAGTGTGTAACAGATTTTTTTAGAAGCAAATGCTATAAAAAAAGGAGACCGCCCACCATTTTTTTAAAAAGAAAGTGGTATTAATTTGTTGTTATATTAATAGCTATCATCAAACTAAATAACATTTACTTGAACCAGTTCTTTTTATTATGCATAGTTGTGAAGGTATCGCAAAAAATTTGTTGCAATAAAAAACATTGGAAAAGTAAAAAGAAAGAAAAAAACAAAAAAATATTGGTAGTATTTTCATTTTATTAAGTGTTCAAAATGATGTCCTTGGACTTCCAAGTTTTTATTAAGTCTTTTACAAATACTCGCTCGAACATTTGATAACATTGAAGGAGTAACCGATGCACACGCAGTACGTATTCTTATTTTCATGTTTTCCGCAGTTGTAGGAACAGTTGCCATTACTTTGTCTTTTATGTGACCCCATAAAAAAAAATCTAAAGGGGTTAAATCCGATGATCGAGATGGCCACCTTATAGGACCATCTCGACCAATGTTCCTCATTGTAAATATTTCGCGATACCTTCGCAACTATGCACAATAAAAAAAACTGGTTTAAATAAATGTTATTTAGTTTGATAATAGCCATTAATATAACAAAATAACAAAATCTTAATACCACTTTTTCTTTAAAAAAATGTTGGGCAGCCTCCTTTCTTTTATAGCATTTGCTTCCAAAAAAATCTGTCACACACTAGATTTAGTCCCACTTAACTATTGAATCTAAAAAAAATATTTGTTGATATCTTTATTAGATTCTGAGAAAACAGCTTGTAACACTTTATTTGGAACACCCTGTATAAATTAAGTTATATAAAATTAATATTATGAATCTTATTGCAGGTGATCTTAAAAGTTTGTAATGAGAAGGAAGCTAAAAAGATATCTATTTGCGCTGAACCTCGATATTATTGTGACAGTAAGAAAAGCTATCTTATTCTTGGTGGTCTAGGTGGCTTTGGATTAGAATTAGCTGACTGGTTAATACTCCGAGGTGCTAGAAATTTAGTTTTGACATCACGAACGGGAGTAAAGACTGGTTACCAACGTATGCGAGTCGACCGGTGGAAATCGTACGGTGTAAACATATTAATCATCACTGGTGCTGACACATCAAATCATAAGGATTGCGAATTCATATTAAGATCCGCAGAGAAACAGGGTCCGGTAGACGCTATTTTTAATCTTGCCGTAGTATTAAAGGATAGTATATGTATGAATCAGACGGCAAAATCATTCGAAGAATCTTTTAAAGCAAAAGCTTGGTCTACAAAAGCTTTAGATGAGTTATCCAGAAAATTGTGTCCACAACTTCGACAGTTCGTAGTATTCTCATCAATCTCTTGTGGAAGAGGTAATGCCGGGCAAACAAATTATTGTATGGCAAACTCCATAATGGAGAGAATATGTGAACGGAGAGCAGCAGAAGGTCTGCCAGCACTGGCTATTCAATGGGGCGCTATTGGCGATGTTGGTCTCAGTGCCGACTGGCAGTATAATAAAGAACACGATAATGGAACTCAGAAGCAGGAAATATCCTCTTGTCTTGAGAATATGGAAAGCTTCTTAATGCAGAATCGCCCAGTAGTAGCTAGCATGGTAGTTGCCGAAAAGCACCTAGTAGCTCATAATACTACTACTATTACAGAAATTGTAGCAAATATACTAGGTAAGATTATGTTACACATTGTTCAGTTGTTATTATTAAGACGAGATTGTTTAAAATCTTACTTTGACAGTTTGTATACATAACGAGGTTCTATCCAGATTTTTATTGCTTTGACCGACTGTTGCATAAATCTTGTTTGCATAGAAATCATGTATATTTAAAGTATCTAGTAGTCTATAGGTCTTGTACTTGATTGCACGTTACGTATATATAATAGTAATAATAGTTTAGTAGTAATAGTTTACTACTGTAAATAATAATACTAATGTAAACAATAATAGTTTACACTTGTAATAGTTTAATTCATCTTTCGATCTTTGAAAGAAGTAAATACAATGTACAAAGTAAGTTACATCAAATAACTAAATTACACAGCAGTTTTATAAGAATTTTTTTCTCTTTTTCTTTTTCTTTTTCTATCTCTTTTCTTCTGGCTACAACCTTTTTTATCTAATTTTTTTTTTGTCCCTTTCATGATTTGACTTAGAGTCAATTCTTGATCTATTTTGGTTTTTTTACTCATTTAATAAGTGATCTACGGTTTCTTCTCTTTCTTCACATAGACGGCAGAATTTTCTTCCGCTTTTCTTCAGTATCTATTTCTTCTCCCTTTATTTCCACATCAAAATCTTGCTATAAATTTTTAATTCCTCTTTTCATAGCTTACTCGTACATATTATGCTCTTTCTTCTTTATTTATTATTCTGTATTTTTTATTGTACCTTTCTTCTATTATTCTCCATAGCTATTCCTGTTCTTGATCTTCTTTGTCTATTTGACTTATTGTTTTTAAGAGCAGGTCTTCTTCTGTTATTCTTTTTTTGATCTCTTGTATTGTAATTCTTTTTTCTTCATATATATAGTATGTTTCTTTGTTTCTTTGCCACGATTTATTATCTTTTACTTTTGAGTCTATTTCTCTCCAACATTCTGTTATCTTATATTTAATGCTTTTGCAGTGTGTTATTAATATTCAAAAATGGTTTTTGGGTTTGAACCGTGTTGGTGTTATTTTTATAGCAACGTTTTGTCAACAATTACAATTTACTTTATCAGAGGTTTCAAGAGCAACCTGATTCTGTTGTTATTCTTATTTATTCCTATGCTCCTTGTCTTTCTTTCAAACTTAGCTGCTTTTTGCCTCTATTCTTATCTTCTTTGTCTTGGTTTCCTCTCTCACTATATATGCAGTGTATTAAAATCTAAACCTAACCTAGAACCTATCTTACTTACCTTGTAGTTTTTCTATTTTCTCTTCTTTTTATCTCCATATTTTTTATCTCTATATTTCTTCTGCATATAATATTATGCTTTTTATCAGGCTATCGTAGATCTTCATCTTTCTTTTGAAATTGTTCTTAAATCTTTGTTGTCTTACGCCCCATGTTTGTTTCATTGTAAGTATCGCCTTCTTTGTTATTTCCCAGATGTGTCTTTATTTCTCTATTTTTTTTTTAAGTGGGAACCTAGGTATTTAAATTTAGTGACCTCTTCTAACTCTTTTTTCATTCATTTCCAGCTTTTCTTCTCTTTATTTCCTTTTTCTTCTTTAAAAATCATAACTTATGACTTCCCGACATTCAAAACCAGATCCTTTTTTTTTAAAGTATGCTTTTTAAAAATATTCCTTCTTTTAAAGTAAAATATATTAACTTGTTGATCATTTTTCTTAAGAAGGTACTACTGATCTGTAAATTAAATAGAGACCTGTAAATCGACTATTTAAAAACCTAAATAGTAGTAATTTCTCTCCTCTCTATTTCCGTTTATTTTTAGCATATTTATTATGCTAATAACACGATAAGCAACGTGATAAGCAAGGGAAACTAACGTAAATAAAGCACTCTAAATGGAACAGAAACTACTACATCCACACCGTTGTTTCTGGGTAACGCTAAAAGTAAAATATAAAAATAGAATTAAAAAATGTATTAACACAATTCAAGGTGACATGTGACTTCTTCCAAACTATGTAACTTTTGTTTGAACAATGTTTGTCTATGACGAGTTACAGAAGAAATATTAAAATGCATTATTTAAGATGGGACACTTTGTATACAAGGTGATTCAGAATAATCCATTATCTTTGAAAATATATATTTTTGACTAAATTCTAAGACAACTTTTTATTTGACAAAATTTTGTCTGAAGCTTACTTTTTGAGTTATTAATAAAACTAGGTGACTTACCACGAATACAAGAGGTAGGCAGGGGTAGCGCAGCTCACCGTCAAATTACGCGGACGATTACGTGTGGTGCCTGACGCGCGTTGCCTGATGCGATCAGCTGATCACTACACACTGTTTCTATATCTTTCTCTGTCTCTCTCTTTTTCTCTCACTTATTTATTTATTTATTCGTAATTTGTATCACTTAATCCGTGCATCACATAAATTACTGTCAATCACGGTGAGGTGCGCCGCTCTTGCCTACCTCTTGTATCCGATTTGTGGTAAATCACTTATTTGTATTACTAACTCAAAAAGTAAGCTTCAAATAAAATTTTGTCAAATAAAAAGTCTTAGAATTTAGTCAAGAATATGTATTTTCAAAGATAACGATTGTTCTGAATCACCCTGTATATACAGGGTGTCCCACCTAACTTGAGCACTCTAAATATCTCGCTCATTTTTTATAATAAGAGGATGCCGAAAAGAGTCATTATTCAGTTAGAGGAGACAAATACTGTAATAAACAAGAACTTTTTGGATTTGTCTTGACCTTACCTATCATATCGCAAAGATAAAAATAGGTGCTTTCAGATAAAAAAAATGACAATGACTTTGAAATCTTAAAAAATATGACCTTGAAAAAAAGTTCCTGTTTATTACCGTAAGTTTGTTTCCTCAAACTGAATAATGATCCTTTTCGGCATCTTGTCATAAAAAATAAGAGAGATATGTAAGATGCTCAAGTTAGGTGGGACATTCTGTATATGTATGTATGGTGTCTTGTAATGATTAGTAAACCTTGCAGGAAGTAAAAGAGTGTGAAATTTTGAACTAAAAGTTCTTTTTTTATTTTTGACTTAGACCATTATTTACCAAGTTTTTAACTATTAAAGTTCCTCAATGAGACGGTGCGCATACAAAGTATGCAAGAGCGTCGCGCGCTGTGCGACACCTCGCGCTTGTTTGACACCTCCGATTGAAACAGTGTTTCTGCTAAAATTTTATTCTACTATGTCGCATTGGGTAATACATAAATAAATAAATAAAAACAGAAATTACTCAATTGCTTAATTTATTTAAAAAAATTATTGACACATTGTCCGAAATTAATGAGAATACATAAATACTTAATGTTAATCATGTCTTTTTATGTTTTCATCATTAAAAAAAATAGATTAATTTAAATAATAATTTTTAAAGGCTCGTGAAAGTTTCAAAGAGAATAAAAGACTGATACGAGCCGTTCACAGGATGTTGAGCGGAACTTGTACGTGTATACATATATATGTAAACACTTATGACAAGTTCACTTGTAAATTTTTACAAGTGAGTTTTTTGAATTGAAAATTCAATTCTTAAATTCATACGGGATGCGGGATTTGCATCTCACATATGAAAGACCCCGAATACCCCCCTAACTAATTTTTAAAATATTGCGAAAAAAACTCCTCGGCCAGGAGTCGAACCTGGAATCTTATGTAAGATGCAAATCCCGCATCCCGTATGAATTTAAGAATTGAATTTTCAATTCAAAAAACTCACTTGTAAAAATTTACAAGTGAACTTGTCATAGGTGTTTACATATATATGTATACACGTACAAGTTCCGCTCAACATCCTGTGAACGGCTCGTATCGGCCTTTTATTCTCTTTAAATAATAATTACTTATTTATTTATGAAAAAATAGATTAATATAACTACTAATTACTCATTTATTTATGTGTGAGTTATATATTTTTTTAATTGATAAAAACGTAAAAAGACACAAATAACATTAATTATTTATGTATTCATTAATTTTAGAATGTATCAATAATTTTTTCAAATAAATTAATTAGTTGATTAATTTCTAACTGTTTTTATTTATTTATTCATTACCTAATGTGACATAGAATGAAGTTGTAACAAAAGCAATGCATTTCTCTTTACTTTGGCTGTGCAAACAGCGCTATCATTTCCCTCTTTTGTAGAAAGAACAATGTTATTAACTATCTCTATTAATTCTTGATGCGCGCGGTAGCTTGCTGTTCGGTACGTTACATCGCGTCGATCATTAATAAGCTGATCGCGGAGAGCAGTGTCTTCTTATCCCTCGAGCACGGCTCCCTTCCTTTTGCGTACCGTCGAATATCGGCTGACCGTAAGATCCGCCGAGTCATACGCCGCGCTCGCCTGTTTACTTCGTCTCTCGTTGCTAAGACATTGCATGATGTAAGCTATCTTTTTTATAAGGACAATCACACACGTCTTCAGAGGACGCTTTCCACGCGCTCATCGGTTCACATTTATTAATGTATATCTCATTAACTATTGCGAATTTCGCAAAATGGCAAATAAGTTTTCTATTCAGTTTTACTCAATTTATCTTCATACTTCGGCTGTGTCAAAATTTTTTAGACACTCTGTATATGAGCAAATCCAACGTAGTTTTCCCTTTTATAAAAATTTATTTATTTATTTTTTTTCAAATGTGCAGTACATCTTATATTAACTAACATGTCTGAAATAGGTCAAGTATGTCAAAAATACCTACACGTGTTAATAGTTTTAAGTAAACGGCGCAAAGTTTACCTAATTAAAATTGACTTAATTTCTTTCCAGTTTTACAGTGCAATCATGCTTAAATTATGCATTACTTTTAATGTTATAAAATTGGGTTTGAAAATTGTGGCCACATGGTTTCCGTGATAAGTTATGGTATAAGAAAGAGTTTACAGCTAATATAGACTGAAGTTTCTCGGAATATGTGCCAAGGCGATTTGTGGATTTTTCAGTGAATTTACGCTTTCGAAGATAATCTCTGATGCTCTAGTGTGTGTTTCATTTTT